GGGTGTAGTGCAGTTGTGAGATTTGGAGGAAGCCTCATGATTCACTTATGACCGCATCCCATGTGACCAGACCTAGATTCGGTCAATTATTGTCCTCACTGTCAGCTGCAACTGCTTTTGATCAAGTACATTTCTGCATTTCTTAACAACCAGGAAACAGCTTCATGTTCATGTAGAGGAACCACATTTTGACCACACTCTTCTTGTTCACACTCACACTTGTTCTGTCAAGTTGGCTCCCATACTCCACTAATGGCACACTCTATCTGACATCTTCTTCTCGCTTCCAGTGGTGAACTGAGGACCAATAATGTTTTACTATTTAAACAAATTTATGAATCATTTAAGTAAATGAAGAGTCTGATTCGAATGCCGTATTTAAAAAAAAAAAATGGTGGATTTTGGTTGGCTTTTTCTTCTGCATTCTTTATTGATGAGGAGTTTCCTTGCCCACTCTGAGAGTGGATATTTCATTTTTTCATTGTTTATTCTCAACTTTTCCAATACGTCAAATCAAATGAATCAGAGGAATTCTTCATCAGCATGGAAATAACTGATACTGAACAAGCCATTAACAAAGTGAGTCCACATTGGCCACGTATAAGCTTTGTGAGATCCGAACTGTATCACAGAGCAAAAGTTATGGCACAACAATCAGCTCATATATGGTATTTTTGTATTCCTCTAACTGTCTCTGTTTTTCCCTGAAGAGGATGCGGTCACATTAGTCCTCTCTGTGTGGATGTGCCTCTAAAGGTGTGTGCAGACTGGCCCCTGGGGAAAGCATTACACATGGCTGCTTACATAACCTTAAGTTAGCCATGACAACTAAAATGGATGGGGGGAGGGGGGTCACAAGATATGAGGAAGGGTGAAAAGAAAAGCCAAATAAAGACGGAGATAAGTGACAGTGAGTGAGACTGAACTTGGATGACTAAGATAGGAAGTGAAAATTCACCTGAGAGAGAGAGAGAGAGAGAGAGAAGTGGACCTTGTGTTTTTCACCATGACAGTTATTTAAAGTACTTAGTTTGATGTAGGTCCTTTTCTTCCTGATAACAAAAAATATGAAAAAAGCCTTTCTACCAGTGTCACCAAACTTGAAATGGAATCTTATCTGCTATTCAAATATTTATACAAACCAGAGCTGTGCATGCTTCCTCATGAGCTCCAGGTTTAGGGTTATTACTGTGCTAACTATGAAGTGGGTGAACAGATCCACACAAGTATATTTTGTCCAATTCTTTTTTTTTAACTATGTATTACTGCGGAATACAACGTTTTCTCCGAGGTCACCGTTTTAACAAAGTAACACTGTGGAAAATAGTCATGCATAAACAAGGCAAGAGGACAAGCAAGCGTTTTGAACATTCCTCTGTGTGTGTGTGTGTGTGTGTGTGTGTGTGTGTGTGTGTGTTAGTGTGTATGTTTGCGTGTGTGTGTGCATAATAGTGTTGTAATGGCGGCAAACAGGATGTAGGCCTGCATTAAGTTATCTCTGAGTGGTTCCAAGTGACCAACATACTGGCTTTACATGTTCCCGGAAAAAAAAAATTATTGATTTTTTGGAACAGAAAATTAGTTGCAACTGCGATTGATTTGAATAAGGAAATAGAGAGAGGGAATTGAAGTATTTACCTGTATGTTAACACACGACCTGCGTGTGTGTTATTGGCCAAGAGGCTGCGGAGTATCTGTGTGTAAGGATTGATCAGCCACAGCCTCAGGGCTTCTTGGCTTACAGAGGGTCAGAGGAGGTAAAAACATGCTTGTGCCTTCAAATGAGATCCAATAATGGCTCAAAAGGAACACAAGTGTGTTTAAAAACCTCCACCAGAAATCTATAATCTTCATCACGATCCCATGTTAGCCCTAGACATCCTCAATAGATCAATACCATGAAATTACAGTGGTTGTTCCAGCTAATTGTGAGGGATTGAGAGCTAATGCTCTCAGTAATTGGCTGTTTACTTTCCAATAAGGTATCGGAGAGGGTCGCTAAATCATGTATATTCAATTTAGAGTGTTACATTGCTGATAGTGCCATTAATTCAGCTTTTACACTTGACAGAATACAAATTCAGCACTCAGTGAGAAATGATTTATATGTGCCCATAGCGGCCTACTTCCTGGTCATCTTTATGCATGTGCAGGTCTGTGGGTGTCACTGATACACAGTGGCAGGAAAAATGACCCTTTCTGCGAGTGACAGCTTTAAACGCTGAAAGCCATGAGTGTATGTATGACGTGTCACTGTGTGAGTGTGCGTGCATGTGCATTCAGAAACAATCTCTGCAGGGAGAAAGAAAACAAAACAAAAAAAAACAGCCTTTTAGCTCTTATCAGGAAGCTTCCAGAATGGGACCGATCACCTCCCACTGCAGAGCTATCAATGTGGAGTTAATTGCCTTTCAGAGGCAAAGCATGTTGGTGGGCTAGGAGTAGGGGGGTGTGGTTGTGTGTGTGTGTGTGTGTCCTTTTTTATGTTTGTTGGCTTTTTCATTGTTTTGTTTTACCACAGTTACATTATGATATGATGCCTGGAATTGCACGAGGAGCCTGCAAGCCTGCAATCCATCATCTTCCAGATTATTTACTTAAACGAAAGGAACAAACGGACTTGACAGACACCGATACAAACCACATTACACAGAGACAGCACTAGATGAAGAGGGATGATAGTGAGGGATGGACAGATAAATGGAAGGAGCGATGTGGGATGGAGAGAAAGAGAGAGTGTGAGCGAGAGAGAGGTGGGCTGGACTTGGCATGCGGACGGCCTGTTCTGTGAGCACTATAGAGGACAAGGTCGTTCAAGGTCTGCTGTCATGCTTGATGGGTTACAGTGGGGGTTTCTGATAGGATAAGAAGCAGTGGGGGCGGGGCTATATGTGTGTGTGTGTGTGGGGGGGGTCATCATAAAGTTTTGTATGCATGAGAAGTCTCATGATGGTGACACATTAGAAACCTGCGTGTGTGTGTGTTTGTGCGTGAATCCCATGTTTATACGTCCAGTGCTAATGGCCTTATGCTGCAGCTTCCTCTGAACTCCACATCTCTCATGTCTAATTGCATTTGTCACAGTTTGTAGCCTTGAATACCTTGGCACTAACCATTACTCCAGTCTCCACAGTGCACGTATGATGAGAGAGAAATTGTATGCGCGCTGCTTTGTGTACTCAGTGTTCTCATTCTCTTTGTGCTTGAAAACACTTACTGACCCTTGAAACAACCCAGCTTTGACCTTTTTAAAAGGGAACTAAAAAAGGCTCCAGGGAAGAAATTTACAGTATGTACAGTACATATGGACACTGCTGCACTTCCTTGAAGGCATATGCATAGATAATATATCTATACATTTGGCAGGCCGGAGAAGCAGACGCCAACATGTTGAAATATGTCGGAGCCTGCAGGACTGGATCACACCCCAGAAGCCTCTTAGCATTTTTCCATCATACGGCGCCCCAGAAGGCCATCAGTTTCTGTGTGTGAGTGTGTGTTGATCCACTTCTGCATGTGTGGCAGTGACCGTGCACAGGAACCAGTCTGTGTTCTTCCTTTTTATTATTACTATTATTATCCGTTGCAGATTTGCTTTGGCTGCACTGTAATATCTGTGTGTTGCAGAGGTGAAATGAGAACATTGATTTCAGTTACCGCTTAGCCACTAGTCTCTGCAAGCCCGGCAGTTTGTATAAAACAAGATGAATGTAATGGAAACTGTAATACAATTACAAATGACAAATCACATCCTGTAGATTTCAAGCTCAGCAGTATTACGCACTCTGCACCGGCATGTCCACAGATACACATCTTTCAGCTTTGGCAGACGGGTGTGGGTCGTACTGGGATTGCTTTAAGATAAAATGATTGGATTAATGGAAGGTGCAGCTGGATTCAGGTTCACTCATGAGAGCCATCCAATTGGCAGCAGTGTTCAAGCATGCTGTTACAAATAAAGAACCTTGAGTAATAAAAAGTTATCCTCGGTTTCATTAAAAAAAAAAAAAAGGAAGCGGTCTCTAGTTAACTGGAAGAACACAGACCTTTACATCACGGAAACAGTGCACACACTGTGGGTGCGCCGTACTCACTGTTAGACTACATCCCTTCTTTTTCCGACAACAACACTGCCTCCTCTTCAGCAGGTTGACTTCAGATGTGCCATTATTGAGGTCAGCCGACACTGAGCGTTCCCTACAGTTACTGTCATGCAAATTCTACTAAACACTTGTAAAAAGAGATTTTTCATACGATATGAGGATGTAGTCAGGTCTGCTTATTGGTTGGGCTTGATAGTTCATTGTAGGAGATTTAAAGGATGATGTGCACATGTTAATGCTGTTGTGGTTATTGCAGACACATTGTGAAATGCAGGAAGAATCATTCAGTGCTTCCTCTTTGAGTGTGGCTTCTATGCTGTCTGTTGTCTTCGTCTGCTGCTGTAAAAAAAAAAAAAATCATAACTGACAGCTTACTGGTGGCTGAAAATGGTGATGCATAATTAGGGGAAACATTGCAATTATCATGCACAGAAAGCAAGAAGCATCCAATCATTTCAAATTCATCATCTCGGTTCTTGAATAAGTTTGAGTTGTACATTTTTCTTTCTTCTGCTCCTATTGTAATGGATTAACATTCTAGCAGTTGGCTCCTATGGAATGAAAGCCCCTTGATGTGTGGTTGGAAAATCCCCTTCATTAAGTCACCAAGGCAGATAATCAGTTTGGGCCAGATCAGGTGGAAGAGTGTGCTCACACCAGAGCAGGCATTAACATGCCTATGCCCCAAGTTTATCGTTCTCCAGGGTATGTAGATGACAAACTCCCTTTTTGATTCATACTTGTTTCTATCATGGGGGTATTAAGCTGCTTTTTGTTCAGTCTTACTTATGTACCTATCAATCTGCTGTGTGAAAACACTTCTGACTTTCACAGTTCGTCCAAAGATTAAAAAGCTTAACTCTTTGCCCCCCTCCCCCCTTTTTTTTTTGTCCACAGTGAATGAGTATGTGTTCATGGTCCAAGCCAGAGGGATCCAGATCAGAGAGAACGTGAAGAACATTGGGGCTCAGGTTCTGGAGCAGGTGGTGAGAGGGGCTTACAACATCAATGACACAGGTAAAAAACACAAACACAAAGGTGTTTTCCGAACAAACAGTGTGCACAGGAATGCAGTGTTGGCCAGGGTTAAATAAAGAAAGTGGAAAGAAAGAGCTGATGTAGTTCAAAGTGTTCCAGTCTGACTGAGATATGCATTCAATGCTAAGCTTAGGCAGCAGGGAAGGGGGGTGAGAAGATTAAAAGCATCGAAACAATAGATCACAAAGCTAGGCTCATGCTGATACTTTTTTGTGTGTTTGACTTCAGATTATTCGTACGAGTTGAACGTGAGCGAGAGCGATGCTCCTCCCACCACATACCTCCCTGTGGACTTCACCTACCTCCCTTCTCAGGTTTGCCCTGAGAGGATGCCCTCCATGAGTGAGTTCACTGATTTTGTATTCAAGTCTGTTTGTGATTCAAGCCTAGTCGGTGATTTTGTGATTAAAAAAAATCTTCTTCTGTAAATTTGGTTCCTCTTTCCCTTTTTTTCTGACTAAATCGGTCTTTCCGCTCACTCACTGTCTTTTCCACACACACACAGAGGGCAGATTGGAGGTGAATATGAGCGAGGTGTCTTTGGAGGAGGTAGAGAGATCCTTGCTGGAGGGAGAGCCCAGCATGGCCTCAGGAGGCTACTGGAAGCCAAAAGACTGTTTACCTCGCTGGAAGGTAGGTGTGGATGTGACAGTGTGGGGATGACTGTTCACTGAGAAGCACTGTCGAAAAAAAAGATGAGCGAGTGGAGAAACAAACTGATCCTTCCATTTAGAGGTCTCTGGATGTTTTTGTATGAAAATGATTTTAGAGGAGAAATAGCTTAAAGCAAAGTATTTAACTCTTTATGTTACATGAAAAGATGAAAACATTAAGAGATATGTGACTAGCAACACATTTAGTTGTAAAAGAAAAAAACAATCTTGAGAATAAGGGACCAAGCTTAAATGAGATTATATTAGAATATGTAAACTGCTGTATAAACCAAGCAGGAACATACAGAGTAGAAAAATGAAGCCATTGCAGAAATGCAAAAACCTGCAGTTCTTTGAGTGCCCACTACAAAATGGCTCTAAAAGCCCCAGAAATCCCTTTAACACCCATATGAAACATTATTTACAGCAGAAATACACGTTTACATCCTGGTTCAAGAAACGATTTGGGCCCTGATATCTTACATTTCTTTTAGCAACACACTGTACTAGGAGCGACTTTTTTAATAAACTCTTCCATCTTGATTTTATGAAGACTAAGAGTTATGCATAATAAGGGGCATGGCTGCTCTGACTGACCAACCGTTTGGCAGAAAGCTAAAATTTCGCCTCAACTCCTCCTCTTTGCCTGTCGCTAGGTTGACTGAAAGTTAGTTTGAGAAAGTATTTCCAATATGGCGTCCGCCACCGTTGGGCTTCAGAACTGCGCTCCACAAACTCATGGGTGACGTCACTGAGACTATGTCCATGTTTTATACAGTCTATGGTATAAACAGCAACATTTATGACCCATAAAACACCCATGACCAACTTTATTTTACGAGCAGAAACTTACTTTCAAATGTCCTTTTAAAACATCCTCTTCCCTCATTCGACACTTTGGGTAAATATAATTAAAATAAATGGAACACAGTGGAAATGTCAATATACTTAAAATCAGATTTTGTAGGGGAGCGCCAAAGGCTGGCGGTTATGTTGCGCGCCCCATGTACAGAGGCTATAGTCTTCATTGCAGCGGCTGTGGGTTCAACTGCAGCCCTTTGCTGCATGTCATCCCCTTCTCTCCTCTCACAACACTTCCTGTCTCTTTTCGGCTGTCATATCAATTCAAGGCTAAAAGGCCTATAAACGTAACTTTAAAAAAAAATAGATTTTGGAGTTAAGTTTCTAGTTTAGAGTTTTTTATGTTTAACATTTGATTATTTTTTATTTGACAGGTCCCTGCAACACAAGAACCCCAAAAGCTAAATTATTGTATCGTGCATAATAATAGGATTTGTTGAAGCAGAAAATACTGACAGTGATTTCAGATGATTATTTGTTAAATTAAGCTCCACAGCTGATGTCTCCACTTTCAAAAGGCCAAGTTACAAATTGTTTTCAGAGCTTTCAAAGTAAAACAAGCAGGGCATAAAATCATCAGGGTTTCAAAGAAAGTCGATTTTAATACCGTTTAAGAATATTTATATCTCAAATCAAATACAAATGAAATAATGATAAAATGAAAACAGTCATATGGTTAACTGTTTTGAGGTGAGACTTCCCAATATGCCACAAATGTCTGCATCAGGTTAAAACAGTTTGCAGCATTGCCGGTCATACATCACACACTGTTCTTACAATGTTCTTGCTTTCCCACCACTTCCTGCTTATGTAGTCTCTCACTATGCAAATCAGGATGATGTGCTTGCTGCTGCTGTGTCCTACATTTAAAAGCACACAATGCAAACATTCAGTCATTTATCACTATATGCTCATATCTGTGCATTTTATTATTTTCTGTTTTTGGTTAACTGAGCAATCTTCCCTGCCATCTGTCTGCCTGTCTGTCTTTCTCCCACATGCGTGCCCTGAGGGACTGTGCATGCCCTGACAATCAGTTTTATTTCTCTCATTTACCAGCAATCAATCTCCTATCTTCTTTGATAGTCTCTCTCTCACTCTCATTGTTTCCTGTTCCTCTTGCTGTTCCTTCCTGTGACAGTTTGCTTTTTACCCAGCTTTAAAAGAAACTGAAGAAAAACAGGGACTGTCATGGCAACCAGCAGTCTATGGGGGAAAATAAACACCACTCACAGACGTTCAGAGCCTCTATGATTGATGCATGCCACATCTCATTGTGAAAATTAGATTTCTAGGACCTGACACTTGATTGTCATGGATCTTTATGGTAATAATGGTGAGAATTGTTTCGCTGCCTTCACCCAGACTTTCCCATTTACTTGCTGCTGAGAATTCACACCTCCCAGAAACATTCATTTTGTACAAATAGTACAGTTTACTTTTCTGCACATATAAAGCTTTTCTCTTTGCCCTTCTGTGTCCCCCAAGCTGTTCCTTATATATACTGTTCTCTATTTTTATTTTGTGTCCCTTAGGTGGCAATCCTAGTCCCCTTCAGGAACCGACATGAACATTTACCCATTCTGCTGAGACATCTGGTACCAGTGCTGCAGAAGCAGAGACTCCAGTTTGCCTTTTATGTCATAGAGCAGGTATGAACACAAATATTCACTGTCAGCGTGTGTTTCTTTTGGTTGAAACAAATAACCTACAGACATAGGAGCTTTCTCAATAGAAAGTATCTGTTTATATCTCTTAGGGCGGTACGGAGCCATTTAATAGAGCCATGTTGTTTAACGTGGGCTACAAGGAGGCCATGAAGGACCTGGACTGGGACTGCCTGGTCTTCCACGACGTGGACCATCTTATGGAGAACGACAGAAACTACTACGGCTGCACAGACATGCCTCGACACTTTGCAGTCAAACTCGACAAGTACTCCTACATGTGAGTCCTGATTCCATCTCCATGGGTTGTCATGCAGTAAATGTAATCCTTAGTGCACATGAATTTAATAAATGTAATTGTCTCCCCCTTGAAGGCTTCCATATAACGAGTTCTTTGGCGGAGTCAGTGGCCTCATGGTGAAGCAGTTCAAAAAGATTAATGGATTTCCTAATGCTTTCTGGGGCTGGGGAGGAGAGGACGATGACCTCTGGAACAGGTGAGGTGAACACACAAACACAAAGACACAAACCAAGCACACATGCACACACAGCACGAGGCAGTCGGTATTGTTGACATGAGGTGTGCTCAAGAGTTGGGCTAGGCCAGCTTTGAGCACAGCAGGCTTTTGTAATAGTTCTCATGTTTTTGGGGTTGTTTTATTGTTTAATTCTTTTGCCCTTGTCACACAGTGCTGTTGTTCCTCCTGCTGCCTACATAGCTCTCAGGCAGCTGTATACACTCAGGCTTCTCAATAAACACAGACATTTCTGACTGATTGGTGGTGTGTTTTTGTTTCTGTTTGTAATGATCTCTTTTGTGTGCACACTGTGAAACCTTCCCCTCTTGCACTTCTGTATCTTGCGGCAAAAATGACAAAAGACAACACAATACTTGCTCTGCCTTGTCTTTGTACTTTATAGATTCATTTGTGTTAAATGTTTGTGCAGGGTGCAGTTCGCCAACTACACAGTAAGCAGACCGCGCGGAGAGCAGGGACGCTATATGTCAATCCCACATCACCACCGCGGGGAAGTCCAGTTCCTCGGAAGGTTAGTGTATCTATGCATTAACACACACACACACACACACACACACACACACACACACACACACACACACACACACTATGTTCAGAAGTTGGTGGCTGATAATTGGAATGAGGCTAAAGCTCATGTGGTGTAAGCCAGTCACATGAAAAGCCAACAAGAGTGACTTTGAGAGAATTTCAACTCTTTTAAAGACTTTGCATGTGATAGGCTTGTATGCTTCAAGGCTGAATTCCAATCATTCCCCCTCCTGGTTACTGAGAAAAGCCCAAAGAATAAATTATTCTTCTGATTTCTTGACAGTAGGGGATACTAGACAGAAAGAAGTATGGAAAAGAAATATGCAACTGCGACTTTTTTTCAGACACTCTTCAATGTCAGCCAACTTTCTCGTGTAGTATCATCATGTAGGAAGTTGAAACCTGTTCCACTACATGTCTCTTTGTTTATTAAGTCTCAGGTGCCATTGTGCCATGTAACTTGTCTGACCTGAATATTAAACTTACTTCATTATTTCTTACTGCTAACTTTTTTTTTTTTTTTCCTTGCAGGTATAGTCTACTACGCCACTCAAAGGAGAGACAGAAAGTGGATGGTCTTAACAACCTAAACTACTCCCCCCTAGTGTCCAGGAGGTCTCTTTACACCAACATCACAGTCAGCTTGAGCAGAAAGCTTGCACCCGTAGCTGACTACTGATGTAGGCACAGCTGGACTGCAAAAAACACCTGGGAATCAAAGTCCTCTGGGACATCAGCCATATCTCACCAGTTGCAGCACTGCTTAGGACTTTTAAGTTGATTGATAATTTGCTTCCTTTCTTTTGTTTGTATGCAAAAAAAAAAAAAAGAAAAAAAGGAGACTCCAAAAAGTTTGTCGGATAAATCGTAAAACAAATTAAGGATAAATGCTGCACTCGCTTGTGCCACAGTCCATCACTCCTCTCATCTGGGCTTCTCTGGTCTGCAGTCTCCACCTGCCTTTTGCACCATTTTGGCCTTCAGCATCCATTCATTCATTCATTCATGTTCTTATCCAGTCAACGATTGGCGCAGCCCAACACTAGTGTGCTTGTTTGTTAAAATAAGCCATGATATACATGCACATTAGCACGCACGCACACATAAGGCTGGACTTGCATGTGCTGATATGGTCCCCGAGGCTTTGATTTTTGTTTTTTCTTTGCTCTTGCACTTCTTTTAGCAAAATGCAGTAAGCCTGTGAAAACATTTCGCACGTGCACATGACCACACACAGCAACTTTAATAGAATGGACTCTTGCAGCTGGTTCTGCAGTAGGTATGCCAAATCTACAGGTGAAGAGAGCGAGAGAAAAGTCTATGAAAAAGGAGTGCGTGTTTTCAGTTGTGTGTACTGTATGTGAAATCCTTTAGAGAATATTAATACCTTAATCATCTCTCATCAACTCTGTTTTAGTCCTGTGAACATACCATTTAGAGACTGTGATGTTCGTGTTTGCATAGTCGCATTTGACGTTCTGACTGCCTGCGAGTGGCTGTGTGTTGGAGAGCAATGCTCATCCTGTAAGCAATAAGCTGTAATATCCGACAGCAGAACTTAGACCTGACTTCCTCACTCCACAGATGCAATAGCGCGGGTGCTAGCATGCCCTTATCGGACTACTGAGAAGGAGTGACTGCGTATGCAAACTTCACACTCAACACACCTTTGCCTAAGCAAACATGCCACCCGTTTTGGAACCTGTGTGTGTGTGTGTGTGTGTGTGTTTCTGTGTGAGCATCTGTGTATACAAGTGAGGGAGAGCTATGCAAATGGCCTGTATGTATCCTGTTGTCAGCGCTAAGGTCTCCAGGGTGTCCTCCTGGAGACATTTACCCCTGAAACTGTGACAGACTGACTTGAGACCTCACTCTGTGTGCGGTGTGCGAGTAGAGCCAGGGAAAGAAAAGCATTGCTGTTTTTATTTTTAGATCCCACAATATTTACTCACCTTCATTTTTATGGGAGAGGAAGCGGAGGAAGAGAATACTTGATTGCCGTCACTGTCACTGGTGTTTACAGAAGCTTTTGCTTTGTTATTTTTCAGATTGTGTAGTGTTTGCAACATAGCTAGCCAGCCGCCCTCCACTGTGGGCGCTGGGAAAACTGTTTATCTCAAACAACCAATCTGTGGCTGCCTTTATTTTTTTAATGACTCTTCTTCTATATCTAGACTTCGATAGGGAAATCGCTGATCTGAATGCATATCTAACCAACACATCATACACCACTGATTAGCTTTGTTAGCTTATGGCCTGAACGTTCCCTTGTGTCAATCAGACTTTGGGGTGGTAAGGCCTAAGTAGATGTTTTGTTGGATGGCATGCAGAAAAACACCGTGCATTGACACAGACTGACAATACATGTGAAATTAGTCGAAAATGTCCCTTTCCTGATTGTTGTGCTTGACAGTGTTGAATTTGAGTAAAAAAAAATATCCCAATACTGTAAACATAGTTCCTTTTAGAAAAAAAAACAAATGTAGAGACACATTCTCCTCACTGTCTGTCCTTTGGTCATGCAGCTACTTCATTTCACACAGATCGCCTTGTATGCATTTCTTAACATGTATGTTTGGGGAGGATAACATGAGTGGTTGTGTGTTCCCACTATGAAATAAGAAGTACAGAGGCTGGACCTCGTTTTATTTATTTGATCTTTTATGGATTATTTTCTGCAATTGTTAAGTTTTTATTTTTCTTGCGGTTGATGTGATGATTACGTAGGAGACATACGACAGACTGTGTTGGACGCACTGAAACTTGTTAGTTATGTGTATTTATGTGGGATTGTGGGGTTCAGGTCTGTGTAAACGGGGGTGCGGTTCCGTTTCATTTAGACACAGACGATCTGGTTTGGATGAAGTGGAACAGGCCCCCCCCCCCCCGTAACCTGGTGCGTGTTAACCTGCTGAACAGAGACACGTCAGAGGAGGCCATTTTGTGTGACAACCACAGGAAGAGCAAGACGCCTAATCAGAAAATGCTAGCAGTCCCTGTCTTTCACTGAGCACCTCCTTTTATACGAATTGATAATCAATGGTGCTGACCTTCCAGGGCTCCCGTAAAAGGGATTCTCTCACTCTCTCTCCTTATGTGCTCACAGGATTCGACACGTACACCATGAAGGCTAGTATTAGCAGGCAAAAAATTCCTCAAACTTAATGGCTCTTTCATGTCATTTCAACCTGCATATCAGCAATTTGTTTTTACTTCCATGGAAGGTTATCCGGCTCCTTTCCATCCTGCATGGTGAAGCTGATTTGTGTATTTATTTTCCTGGTTCACGTCACCAACAGGAGCACGTGTTTACCTTCTTAGCCAGGCCACTCAGGAGGTGCCCAGTGGAAGTCATGGACAGTAGCAGCGCATAGTGTTAAGTTTTCTTTTCCATGTGTGTTTGAGTGAAATGGCTTTAGAGGTCTGACTGTCCTCCATGAAGTTTGTTTTTTTGGTTTTTGTCCAGTTTTTTTTTTTACAGCACTGACAAGATTTATAGCAACCTGGTTGTGATCAACTCACAGGTCCGTTTCTAGGACTTGACACATACATGATACTTGTACTTTAGTATTTGTTTTTGTTACATTGCTTTAAATTAAAAGCTAGATGGACATAAAGGAAAGGTCAAATCAGGATTTCAGTAACCTCTCAACGCAACAAGAATGACGTAGATATCCTTAGAGTCCTGTTTCAGAGTCTATTCTCCGCAATATAGAAGAAGTAGCTCCATCAGCCAACACCGTTATAAAGAAAATTAGTTTTCGGTGGTCACAGGACAGCTTTGTCCACTAAATGATGAAAAATGGGGGAGAATCAGTCAGCGCTCTCTTGCTTTTTTATTGGAACAAAAAATAGATTGTTTTCTGTTACGCGCATGCTGACAATCTTGTTCCTGTTACATTTACTGTACATGGTCTCAACCCAGACCAAGACCACATCTGCTGCTCACCCAAGAGGCGTCATATCCCAATTATCTCACCCACTCTGATCCATTCTGTGCCAGTTTAAATGAAGGGACCAATCTTTGGCCACCTGACAGAACTGGCAGCCTTAAAGCTTCTTAATTTATTTCAGTGTTTTTTTCTTTTTTTCACTCACGTTTTTTTTTTTTTTTTTTTATAAGCGAAAAATATTTAAATTGAAAAAGAAGTGCATATCAAGAAAATGATCATTGTAAATATTGTTGTGTGTAGTGTTTTAGAAGTTCTCTAAGGTCTTAAATCACTACAAAAGCTAGCATATAGAACAAGGCTTTTGGAGGGATTTGGCTGGAGGTTTTATCGGGTGCCATTTAAGTGCTAGTGAAGCTTACACAGCAACATCAATGGTTTTACATCACTGCTTCCCTGCACAGCCTTTTTTTAAACTCAAGATATCCTTATTCCATGAATTTTTAACTTCCTCTCTGAAACTCTGAGGAGCTCTGCTCTCCAGAAGCCTCCCTGCACCTTATATATTGTAGCCATTGAAGAGACGTATTACAGCAGACATAGATATCACCCTTCAGATGTTTGTTCAGTGTCCTTGTTTCAGACTGGGATGTCTCTTTGATAGTGTCAGCAGTGTGGGGTACGCGCAGGTTAGAGGGGAAGCTCTGCAGGATAGTGAGTGTCAGCCAAAAACACCATATGCTTACGACGCAACGAAACACAGGCACCCAAACCAGCCACACGATCCACTCTAAAATCTACACTGATTCATTTTTTTGTATGAAAGCTAACTACTAATAAAAAAATAAACAAAAAGAAAACCGATCGCTAAATTAAAAATATATCTTCTCTGATTGTAAGGAGAGAAATTCTCCTTGAATTGAAGCCATTTGAAGCCACTTGTCGAAACTTGATGTCAGCCTTATGTGAATCCGTTTGTGTATCGGCATATTATCTTTTGATTATTGAAATTTGTATGATGGAGATTTTTCTTTTATACCATCATTGTTATTGTCTAAGTACACCAATAAAATGAAACTTGTAAAGATACCGAAGTCCTTGGTCTGCTTTGGGTTTTTTGTCTGTGTGTGTGATTTCTGTTTTTTGGCCTCAGCTAAAGCATTTTCTCCCTGCGCAGTCACACTAGCTCTTTTTATAGATGTTCAGAATAATAATGTGGCTGTGCTGCCTGCCTACTATGACTTCTGCATAGAGTGTTATTAGACAAACATGACATGCTTCCTGTAAGAAGACATTTAGTTCACACTTCATTACTCGTACAATATGCAGAGCATGATTTGGCAACAGTCAGAGAATGACTGCCAATGAGAGGGCTCCACTGAAGGGGGGGGGGGGTGGCGGCATCTCTATGCACTCTCACCCAAACAGAGACTCTTGTATTTGATCCACATGTCAATCCTGCTTCTTCAGGGAACATCCTCAAGTTTAGTTCAGTTCTTTAATAGTCCCACTTTCTATACTTGTCACTGTGCTGTGTGTGTGTGTGTGTGTGTGTTCTTCATCAGAGTCTGAGACAAAGATGTCTCTTGTCCCAGCCTGTCACCCATAGAAGAAAAACAGAGATCAGAATGAGATGCTTTGACGAGAGGTCACTTAAGATTCATTGAATCGAAGCAGCTCCAGCCCTGTGGCATTTAGCACATTAACTGCACATCTCCTCTAGTTAACCGAAGTGACAGCTGATAATCGAATTATGCCGTCTGGAAAGAAAATGCTAAGTGGCAGCGACGGGTATATCTACATAGGAATTTAAATGCATTCCCCTGAATTTGTGCATCACGTTTCATACTGGGTTTTCCCTGCAAAAATATAAAATATGGCAAAAAAAATGCCTCCATCTATCTTCTCTTAAAATGCCTCCGCTTGTCCCCTGATGTATAACAGTGCTTGTGTGTGAGAGGCTTGGCAGAGGCACAGAGCCCGGATGGAGTAGCCACATCTTAATGGAGTCTGTGAAACACAAGGCTTTGGAATGCTAACACTAGTGTCACTTAGCTGTCAGACACACACAGAGGGCAGCTCTTAAGCTCTCAAGAGCCGTCTTGGCCTGTGTGTGCAACACACGCCGGCACACATACACATCCTTTATTAATTCAGCCACACGTTCCCTCTTGAGGGTTGTGTCTCTTGAAGGCTTTGGTGCCTTTCTATGCTGCTTGTGTGTCTCTGGTGATGCACTTCTCCCTGCAGTGTCATACAAACTGGAATCTCCATCGAGAAGTAGCTGAATAACTACATTTGTGGCTTTCAGTGGTGCAGAATGGCATCACACTCTTCATGTGCTCTTGCTCACATTTTTGCATATGTGTGTATAAGTGTGTGTGTGTGTGTGTGTGTGTGTGTGTGTGTGTGTACTACTGCACACCCGCTCAGAGACCCAAACAGAGAGATGTGCCCTTTAGCTTGCAACAATATTTAGCTTTCAGTGTAGCTTCTATATGATATATGTGCTGACATCATGCAGGAAGGGCCCATCCTCTCATATCTGCTTAAATCAGAGGTTTGACTGATAGAGCACAACAGCGCCTTATGGGGAACTGTGTGTGTGTGTGTACGTGTGTACGTGTGTGTGAGTGCATGCTGTCTCATGCATGTGCAGAAGGAGGAAGCAAAGGCAAAGCGGAACCACTGCTCCTATGCGTGTGTGGGTGTCACATGAATTTGTAATGTCGCTTAGTGTTACATCACCATTTGTCACGGTCTCAGGTTTAAGCATTACACAGCATTACGGCAACTAGCTTCTAGTTCCTTTTTGCTTCCATTATATCATCCCATCGTCTTCTGTGTCTTCTGCAGGTCACGGCTATAGGACAGTCCTTTGTGCTTTGCTGCCTCCCGAGGGACGGCAAAGCATCCAGCTGCTGTCGGGCCCTGGGGTTTAATGTAACACTTCTGCTGTTTGTGTTTTGGTGTGTGCTTTTGCATCTGAGCAGGCGTGTGCATTTTATACTGTTGTGACTCCTGCCTGCTTTCCTGTCAGGATGTAAGGGAAGAAGTCATGAGGGAACAGGGAAGGTTGTAAACACATCAGCTTCAGATTCTGGCACTCTTCATCCTCCTTGACATGACAGTGCTCTCTGTCATGATGCCCAACCTTTGTTCTCCCGCCTGCACTGCCCCTGTCACTTCCCTGTCTGTTACCCTGAGTATTTATTTTCAGCATCTCAGCTCGGCCACCTCCCCTACACTGACACTCATTGCTGTTTTCTACTAAAGATTTTTTTGTGAAATCCATTCAATTGTTCTCCTTTCCCATGCTCTTGAGTGTACCGTTTTATTTCAGCAATTCCATATTTGCCTTTGCCTTTGTCTGTGACCTCCACCCACTCCATCCGCTCCAAAATATTTATTTCATGTCTAGCCTCTGGTTTTCATTATGTTATGATTGCTTCATCCTGTTCTGGTTACCAAGAGATGTTGTGTTTAAAAACTATGTGCTGATGCTGTACAGGAGACCTGCTGACGGCGCTTCACTCGTGCAAAGTCAACTCGTTTTTACAGCTCATTTCACTCAGCTTCATTCATTATCATTGTGTCTCGCCTAACCCCTGACTCCACAAACATTGCTATATCCTCCTCACTTTCACCTAATGACCTCAACCTTATCATCTGACTGCCTCATGTGACCACAGTCTTGTGAGCGAGTGCATTTTGGAGCCTTAGAGACATGTACTCATGCTGGTTTAAGCTCATTTCTATCAAATAAGCTAAATGTTCTTCATTTATCAATTTGGTTAAGTCAGGGGTTTTCAACTAAAATGAATTTCCCTCACAGTACTGCTTACTCTCAGCAGTCACACCTCAGATTCCTGCAGCCAATATGCTGTGCAGCATATATTAATGATACACTTCTGGTCCCCATTACATGCTGACAGTCAGTTAATCAGTGAGAGATGTTGCTGTCTTAAAGTATGCGCTGAAATTCTGAAAAAAAAACCTGCAGACTGTGCAACCTGACCAAGTCATAATTCAAAATGTGTTTGCTCTACTCAATCTATGGTAGAAGATATCAAGACGAGTAATGTGATGCAGCTTTGTGGAGGAAGAAAAATCCTTTCAGAAGTGAAGCTAACACTTCTCATTTTTACTAAAGGGCCCGTTGTAGGTGATGCTTTCCAGCCGGGGTGGCTGTGGCTCAGTTGGTAGAGCTGGTTGTCTCTTAACTGGAAGGTCAAGGGTTCATTCCCCAGCTCCTGCAGCAACATGTCCAATGTGGGCAAGATACTCGACCCCAAATTGATCCTGCTGCTTCGTCAGTGGCATATGAATGTCTATGACTGGGATTCTTTTCTTATGATGGTCACTGTACATAGCAACCTCTGCCATCAGTGTGTGACATGAGGCGTAAAAGCGCTTTGAGTAGTCAAGAGAGTAGAAAAGTGCTATACAAGCTCAAGTCCATTAACTCCAAATTACTTACAAGGGCTGAGCTTTAACATTCCTCAAAAGTTTGTACTCTTTTGCAACTCTATTCAAACTCATTTATTCAATTGTATACACATTTTTAATGATTAGCTCACCCCATGGCCAGGAACAGCCAGGACAATAATAATAATAACAACGTCTGTTCAAAGATTACTGGAGTGAACGAGAGTGACCTGAGCATTTATGCGACTAAGAACTAATTGGGATTGAAATTAGCATATTTTATCAAACTGACAACATGTGGCCAGTAAGTTTTACCTGCAGCCTGAAGTCATCCTGCCTTAAAGGAGTCAGTTTAGCTTCATGCTAAATTTGGTGAACCAAAAAGTTTCTTTCATCAAGAATTTCAGCCTGCTGCTACATTCCCATCACACTTATGCTGTATTCACACTTACACAAAATTGAGCATTTTTCATCTGGACTTTTTCCTCCAGCCGCTTAGTAAAACGTCTGCATGAAGTGAGGGTGAGCTGATGTGTGAACGCAGCAGGATATTTTGGAAAATTCATCCCGGGCGAGTGGAAGAGGGAGAGAACATTGCTAATATTTGACCAGCAAGTGATTCATGTGATCATGATGCAGTTAAGCAGTGAGTACAGTATGTTATTCTTCTTTTCTCTAGTCCCTCAATTAAACAACCTTTATATGCGAGGGGATGAGTCGGCTGGGTGTCAGTTAAGTGTGAAAAACCCCATATTACGCCTTTAACGCTGCGAGCTATGTGTGAATAACAACTTTATAAAATTTCTAAGGTAGGCTGCTCTAAAATGTTCAAGATGTTATCTGGAGTGCATGTGAGAAAACAGCTTTAGTTACTGTAGGAGTCTTATGGTGGTAACAAAACCATGGTGTCTCAAAATGATTTATATACAGAAGGGTCACAAATAACACATTTGGTGCACTCAATGTATGACACAGAAAGAATGACTACATGAAAAAGGCAAACAGTAAACAGGATAGCAATGGTTGATGCACATGTGTATATAGGCTACACGGACCTACGCAGCCCTGTTTCTGCTCTTACAGCAGTCCTTTGTGACAAGGGTGGTCATAGGTTTGTCTCTTTATTGCAAGCAAAATGCGTTTGTTTTGGTTATTCATATTTTTATACATATATTTATAGTCAATTTGGCATGGTTGTAAAACGTGATAAATTATTTGATTGTTTTAACCTCAAACAGAACAGTTTCCTTTTGTTCTCACATTCATTGTGTGTATTTTTTGTCACACTGTAAATGGATTAAGGCCAGAGAGTTTTCATCGTCATTTAAAAAATAAAGAAATGCAAAGCACATGGCATCCAACATTAAACGATGACCTTAATAACATTGTAATAAACTCCATAATAACCCAACATCTAAACTGGGGGAAAAAAGAAATTCCCCCAGCAGAGATAAGTTATATGTAATCAAATTTTATGGAGTTTCCTTTTCAGAATAAACTCCCGAACGGCATTTTGAAAGATGGCCTACATTTCCAAATGAGTGCCTATAGGGCCCTTAAAAGACACCTCCACCTTGGAGTGTTTTGGTTCTGATTTCTAGTTATCCACCATTCCATATAATGTGCTGTCACTGTCCCCTGATGGAGACTTTGGGAATTACTCTGC